ATAATATATATATATATATATATATATATATATATAATTTGCAGTGTAACAAATGTCTCCACACATCTAGACAAGAAACATCTGTATTATTTCAATAGCACTGCACATTAAGGCTCCATTCACATATTAGCGCAAACATGTAGCTTGTATAATGTAGCTTGTTCACGAAAATGCACATTGCGCTAAAAGTACAAGTGCAATATTCTGGACGACTTCCGCATGTTTCAGCTATAGTAGTAGCCGCAAACGTGTATAAACCGCGTGTGTGTTAAAATGTGCACATTTTTGTTGCCATGCGGAAAACTGCGCTGAATTTCAAACCGTTATGTGTGAATGGAGTCTAAGACGGTTATGATGATGCCTCCAACCCTTAACCCTCCTACAACAATTTTTTGTTAAATTTACAAAGCTAAAGCCATTGCTCTTTAAAGCTAGCAAAACTAAACCTGGCCCCAATGCTTTCAAGGAGAGAGAGCCATCAACTAAAAACCCCAATCCTTAATCTCCCCAAACGAAAGTGCCCTACCTTCAAAGCAACTAACGCTTAAAGCCTTCAAAACTAAAGGCCTCAACTCTTAAGCGGTTTTAACTAAATCATTAAAGTAGAATTAAATCTTACTTTTTTTTTGCATATATTTACTGCAACAAGCAGTAGATATATGCAAAAACATTTTTTTTTTAAAAAGTCACCAAAAACGTTATTACTTAACTGTGTTTCCACCGCTTACTCCTGTCCAAAGATCTGAAAAATCGAAGGATCATGAAACGGGCGCATGCACAGTCGAGTTCTTCAACTGGGAGAAGAGGAGAGACACAGGGTAAGTCAATGCAGGCAGCACGGCAACGCGCACATGCACAGACTCTGCGGGACAGGAAGACACAGAAGTCAGTGCTGGATCAGAGACCGGCACCAGTGCTGGAGGAACTCCTGAAAACCAGTGGAAAGAAACTAAAGCTAGTCATACGCAGTTATATTTTCTTCGTTCAACCTGTGAGCTGGACGAAAACCAAAATAGAACAGATTCCTCTATCAGCGCTTACGAGCATGGATAGAGGAATCCCCTGCTGTTTTCCAATGTATTCTGACAGCGGCTGCAGGCCGCTGTCAGAATACTGAAACGGAACTTGGAGCTGCTCCTTCGATCAACTGATTGAGGGATTCCAGGTGGAAGGGTGCCAACAGGGGAATTTAGGTTGATTCAGCAAGAACCAGCTGAAATTCGTAGTGTATAGCCAACTTTAAACACCAGACCCTAATGTTTCTCTTATTTACAGCTAATTAAATGAATGCCTCTGACTCCAATAGCCCTCTAAAATTACAGTCACCTAGACAAAAATCCTGTCTTCTAAACCACCCACCCTAAAGCACTTAATCCTAAAGTATTTTAAAGTGTCCTTTACTAAAGCCACCGTACTTAAACACCCAACCATTATGCCTCCTAAACTCAAACGTTCAACCCTGAAGGTCCCCTATACTAAATCCTAAAACCTTCAAAACTAAATCCCCACTAGCCTACAGTGCCCTAAAATTCCTGATCCACAGATTACAGTATTGTTTTATGTTAAAAAATCTGAGGGTTTAATGTCACTTTAACACCCCTTATTTCCTAACCCCTTTATAACATATATTCACTAACAAATGCACTAAATAACATACAATGACAATGTTTGAGTGCTGATGCTTACCTGTGAGCATGACAAGTAGTGGCAACAATTCTGTGTTTTTTTGCGGCCTTATGGTGTACTTGCACACAGCAAAAGCACTTTCTTTGACTCTGAGGAACAGTGATAATAGCATGGTAATGAGTGAGTGCACCCCCACTACAGTAACTGTGTGTGGCTATTAAAAGATGTAAATATTAAAGGATCTGTGACTATTGGTGGCACTGAACAGAAGAAAGAAAAAAGTGACCTATACCAAAGCACACTGAAAATGGTGACCGCTGTGTTCCTGCAATGCCTTCTACAAGGGTGTGTCACCTAATACAATGCAAACTTAATGGCTATGGGACAAAGTTTAACAGGCACATGGTAGGATGGAAGGGGATGCAAGACAGCACTAGGGAAGCCCAATTAATATGTATGTAAACCTAGACATTCAAATATTTTTACAAGAGCAGCTTTTATACCTGGTGATCCTGCCATGAAGGTCCTTCTTCAAGCATTTTTTGTTACAGGGGGATAGTGCTCTGCCTTATCTTCCAATTGTTCTCTTGCTTTGTCACTATGTAACATGGGCTTCCAATGGAGACTTCAAAAGGTCATTTAACCTCCTTTTATGCAGCCACTTTGCTTACTATTAAGATCTAATGCAATGCAATTGAACCTGTTGCAAACTCTTGCAATTCAAGCTGAGAATCTGATGAAAATTACATAACATGATGCTACTTTTAGGAAACACCACATGTCAAAACAATCAATAATATACTGATATAGGTTAAAACTATATTAAAGTCTTGTTTTTTGCTGTAAAACTCAAGCCTGGCCTTCCACTCCTGGCCCCCTCAAACCTCCCTGCTCATCAGTGATGCTGCTCATTACATAAATGCACCAAGAGGGTTACTCAGGAGATATGGTCTGGTAGGGTTAAAATAAATGTTTACTAAAAAGTTAGGATTTGCATATAACTTCAGACTGCATGCTTTAACATGCGGTTACTGAACACCTTACATCAAATTTATAGTAATATGGTCCTCTAAACATACAATTGTTACAGTATG